TTAACCCTCATATGGGCTTGTAAATGGTACAACCTAAAGTAAAAAAATATCAGATTGTGAGATAAATTTCGGAATTTTGGCTTTCAGTCTTGAAAGTTAGATTTATTTGCTCTTACTTACTAGAAATAATACAGTCAAATTCTTAAGTTTATTTTCGTTCCATTCGGTATCGATTACCGTGGAATGAGCCATATGTAAGAAACGAAATATATTTTATGAAAAAGTTATCGAAATATGGATACAGTGAAAGCTCCCATACTTCATCTACTTTATGCCCGCCTATGGGAGATGTCCGCTGATGGGAGTTTCGTAAAAAATATCATTAAAATTCAAGTTTAAAAAATTGAAATAGCGGGTTTCTAAACTAAAATAATATTTATTCTTCAATAGACAAAAACAGGATGAATTAAAAATAAATTCAAATTTATGCCGTTTTCTTTCCTACCGACAAATCTCATTGCTTAAGCAACAAGAAGAGGGCAACGAAAAAGCAACACATTTTCTAGAAAAGGAAATGTCTTTGAATATGGTCTATGTTCTTGTGTACATATACATATGTATGTATATGTACAAGCGCAAGAGTCAACATCTGACTGAAAAAAAAACTAGATTAACCGCTTGTTAGAGTCTCGCGTCCGCTTATGGGAGATTTTTTTTCATAACTGGATATTTTTGAGTGTCCGCGTCCGTTTATCCGAGTCCTTATATGGGAGAGTGTTTTTTTATGAAAAAAAACTCAAAATGGTTCGCTCCAAAGAATGTGTCCGCTTATAGGAGATGTCCGCTTATTAGAGCGTCCGTCTATGAGAGCTTTCACTGTTAGAATTTTTAATCAAAGAAAAGGGGCAAAACTCGCATGATTTTTAAGAAAAGTTTCAAAATAAGCCAATTTCTAAAAAGTCGGTGTCAGGGGGCATCGATCTCCAAAAAGTGTCAATTGGACACTTTAGTCGCACAACCGTAACACTGATGCTACCGCAACTTTGGTCCTGTCAAATCATACATTTTTACCATTTTACATAACTAAAGCACGTTTTTTATCGAAAAATTGAATATTATTAAAAATTTACTTATTTTACGGTTTCTTTTATCCTCCTTTTCGGATTTGTTTGCTTTTACTTGAGAAATGGCGCAATCTTGAATACTATCATTCTTGACTTTTCAAGAGTAAATGTATGAAGACAGATTAGTTTTAATGGACTGATGGACAAATAAGAAAGCTACATTAATTTGAAGTGCAATAAATTTTTGGTTTGAGAGCACACTTGACGACGCTCAAAATTTATTTTCCTACAAAACTGCATACTTAAAAAAATTCCAAAAAAATTTGATTAAAAAATTGGAAATCTTATAAATATTATAAATGTGAAAGTTTGTATGTTTGGATGTTTGGGAAATCATCCCGCGGAAACGACTACACGGATTTGCATGAAATTTTGTACGCAGATAGCTTATGGGCCAGATTGGTTAATAGGCTAATTTTTAAGAGTTGCCACCTGTTAAAAAAGTTTCATTTATTTAATATGCGGGAACGACTGAATGGATTTGCATGAAAATTTGCACACAGATAGCTTATAACCTAGATTGGAAAATAGGCTACTTTTCTTAAGAGTTGCCACGTGTTAAAAAAGTTTCATTAAGTTAATACGCGGAAACGACTATATGGATTTGCATGAAATTTTGCAAGCAGATAGCTTATGACCTACAGTGGAAAATAGGCTAATTTTTTGGAAGAGTTGCCACCTGTTAAAAAAGTTTAGTTACATTAATACGCGGAAACGACTAAACGGATTTGCATGAAATTTTGCACACAGATAGCTTATGACCTAGGTTAGAAAGTAGGCTACCTTTTTTAAGAGTTGCCACCTGTTAGAAATGTTTAATTTAATTAATACGCGGAAATGAGTGAATTGATTTGCATGGAAGTTTTTACACAGATAGCTTATGAGCTAGGTTGAAAAATAGGCTACTTTTTTAAGAGTTGCCAGCTGCTAAAAAAGTTTAATTAAAGTAATACGCGGAAAAGCCTGAACTGATTTGCATGAAATTTTGCAAGCAGATAGCTTATGACCTACAGTGGAAAATAGGCTAATTTTTTGGAAGAGTTGCCACCTGTTAAAAAAGTTTTAATTAAATCAATACGCGGAAACGACTGAACAGATTTGCATGATATTTCGCACAGAGATAGCTTATGACCTATGTTGGAAAATAGGCTACTATTTTAAGAGTTATCACGTATTAGGAAAGTTTAATTAAATTAATACGTGGAAATGACTGAACTGATTTGCATGAAAGTTTGCACACAGATAGCTTATGACCTAGACCTGAAAATAGGCTACTTTTTTAAGAATTGCCACCTGCTTGAAAATGAAATTTTGCTCAAAGATGGTTTATGACCTGGATTAAAAAATAGGCTACTTCCTTAACCGGTTTTCCGATCAGAGAGAAATTTAGTACACTTACTACGGATTTCGGAAGGATGGTCTTAGACTGAAAGCAAGTCCGATAACTCAAGGCCCCTCCCATACAAATTGGAATTTTCATATTACATACATATCTCTCGAAGTATTTGTGGGAGAGAACTGAAACTTGGTATAGTGATATGTATGTGAAATCAATGTTGGCATTAATCGATTGATGTTTTAATTAGTTAGTTAATTCGATTAAATTCAATCTGATTTCAGTTAATCATGATTAATTTTAATCCGACTAAACAGTTAATTATAACCGCGATTAAAAAATTATTTTTTAATCATTAACTCTTAATTTGATCAAGTAAGTTTGGTGATTAATTAAGTTATGCTGGAATTTCCCTGTGCACACAAAGCAAGTTAATCCGGTATGGCTAAGTCGGGTTTCCTCATCAATCTAAGCAATCTGGTGTGCATTTTCATTAAGATATATACCAACAAACGTTTTGCGAACTAGGTTTGTAAAAGTTCCCAGTTTATGTATTACTAATAACAATAATTATTATTTTCTTATATTACGTGCTTTTCATAAGCGTAAAACACAAAATAATTACTATAACTGGTGTTTGGTTTCAAACTCGGACAAACTAGACAAATTAATCAGATTTTATTTTTAATTGGATTAAGGATTAATGTTTTAAATTAATTAAACGTAATCGCAGCCAGCGATTAACGACTAAAAAAATGTTATCATTAATCGTGCAGTTGATTACGACTAATTAATTTTAATCGACAAACGCGATTAACATTTTAATCGTTAATTTTTAATCGGATTAATTTTAATCAGATTAACAGTTTGCCAACACTATGTGAAATCATGTTCATATGCACGGAGAAAAATGGACGTTTTTGGAAAAGAGGCGTAGCACCTCCCATACTGAATAAAAATTTCATATTGCATATCTCTTCAAATGTTTGGGGTAAAGCACTCAAGGTTGGTATGGAAATACATATGTATGCATGTATGTATGTGAAACTAATACCATACTCATGGAGAAAAATGAGAGTTATTGGAAAAGGTGGTGTGGCAACTCCCATGCAAATTGATATTTCTATGCTGCATATCTCTGGAGGTGTTATTGCAGAGGACTGGAACTTGGCACCGAGATGTGTGTACAAAATTAATTCCATACTCAAAGAGAAGAATTTGCGTTATTCGAAAAGGGGACATGGTTCCTGCCGTACAAATCTTACTTACTCTTACTATTTATCTCTAGAGGTGTTCATGGTAGAGTACTGGGACTTGGTACTGGGGTATGTAAAATCAATTCTAAATTCATGGAAGAAGATTAGTTTTATAAGAAAAAGGGGCGTGGCACTTCCAGTACAAATTTACTTTTTCTTGCCACATATCCCTGTTTGTGGAAGACAGAATAAATTTCATTAAATGGAAAAGGGAGAGCCGGGTTCGGCCTTATAATCTAAAGCTCTCTTGAGGCATTTGCTACAGTAATGAGAAGTGGTATTTTATGAAGGCCAGGTTATTAAATTTGAGTTGGAAATATTAGAACTCGCCGTGGCACCTCCAAGAAGGTTACACGTTCACGCGTCGTATACCTGGAAACATTTTAAGATAAACTTAGAGGGATTGATATATTTTTGTATGCCTAGCGCGCAGACGAGATTTTATAATTTAATAGTTTTAAACGGCCTAAATACCTTAACTCGCTTAAAAAATAACGAGCTATAACGAAATGGGCACAGAAATAAAATCTAACATCATTAAATTATTTTTCCTATTTGTATAAAAGCGCGGGGTGAAACCCGCGGGTATAAGCTAGTTTATAATAATTTTTAATATTTTTATTGAGCTTTGTACCACGATTGTTTATTAGGAAAACATTGACCAATTGGAAATTTGCATGAAAATTTATTGAAATTTCCAGAGTTTTGAACAGTTTAGAAATTATATTTTTATTTTTTTTTTATTGTAGTATGAACTATATTTTTATAAAAAATAGCAAAAAAAATTAAAATAAAAAATATTGTATATCGACATTGTGAAAAACCCTATGTGAAAATATATTTTTTTAATCCAGTGAAATTAATTTATGTTTAAAACTTTTTCTTTCTTTATTGAAAAATAATAAATTATAAAAAACCATTTCTTTTATTACTGCAAAAAAAATATTTTTGGTGCTCTCAAAACCGTTTTGGTACGTTTTTTGGTAGTTTCCCGCCACTATGGATATAAAATATTTAGAACCTTTTTGGGTATGCAGTTTTATAGCCCATAAAATTTTAGTACAACAAAGTGCAAGTCAGCCAAAGAAAAAATATTAAAAATCAAAGCAATTGAAACTTGCACTTTATTATACTAACATTTTATCAGCTATACAACTGCATCTTCCTTTCAATGAACTTCAGAAAAAGCGATGTTTTGCAGTGAGCCAAGCAGAAAAAGTATCAAAAGCAAACACAACTGTTAATTTTTACACTTTTATTTGGAAAACCAATAATAAATAAAATTTTATAATTAAATCGGTAGTTATAAAAAAAATGTTATATTACTTTCTTCAACAAAAACAGAGAATACGCAAGCTTCCTGGCATAACGAAAAACTTATAGGGCCCCTAAAGCACACAAAATTACTACACAACAAAATTGCGCAAACCGTATTTTGGAGAAACGTTTCTCAAGTAAATATATTTCAGCTTTAGAACGCAAAAAAGAATATTAAAAAAAAGAAATTCCTACGCCCATATTTTACAGCACGATCTGGACACCAAAATGTCAACACTAGATTAAAAATTTCGCAGTTGTCGTCATACGCAGCACAAATTATTATACAATAACACAAGCATGAACATAATATCAAAATGATTTTGATTTTAGTGGAATGACTGTGCAATGTAGTACAAACAACCCCATACACCACTCAAACGACCGACGCAAACCCGATATTTTTGTATGGTTTAGGGGCCCTGTTTGGTCAGATGCATAACACTGTGGCTGCTCAAAGTACTTACGCTCGTACATATGGATGTTCATCAGCCGCTTCGAATTCAACCCTAGCACAAGTCACTTACAGACATATGTAAGTATTTTCAAACTTGTGTGCTTAAATAATTTCGCTTTTACTAATTACATACACATGCTTTTGTTAATTATATACTTACGCTTACATTTTACGGTGCATTCTTCTATTGTATATGCACATACTCGGCTACTTATATAATTATGAATTTGTTATTACCTTTTTTCACTAGAAGTCATACCAGGAAAATATTACGGGATCATTCCCATAACTTGTACATGATTTTGCTTAAGAATAAATAGATCTTAAGCGCATAACTGTTGATGAAAAACCTCACTTGAAATAAAGAAAACGGACTGTCAGCGACGAAAGTGTTTTTTTTTCTTAGCTGGAACAAAGTGGCAACCGTGAGAGGACTTGTCACCATATTACTTGTCCTGTCTAAGAAAAGCCAAAGGAAATCTCAATCCATTTCTTTTGACGTTCGTTCGGAGTTTTTTCATCGCACTTGGCATCCTGCACACAAACCTGGGATCATCAGCAGCGTCCGAGGAAGCTGTTGGAGGCAGTGTAGCTGGTGCATCAAATCTTGCAACAATTGCAAATTATCTCTGCTAAGTACAGTATCAATCATCTTTACTTGCCACTCAACATTGTCGTCGCAGCTGAAGAGTCATTACCAGTGAACGGATTTTTAGGACCTAAAAACCTATAAAAAAGGCAAAATAAAGTAACGAAATATGCTGGAAAAGGCAAAATAAAATAGCGAAAAAGGCAGGAAAAGGCACTAGGTATTGCAAAAAGGCAAAACAAAATAGCGAAAAAGGCAGGAAAAGGCAAAAAAAGGTATTGCAAAAAAAGCAAAATAAGGCACTAAAAAAAGACAGAAAATACGAAGAACAATCAAAAAATGTATTTATTTTAGAAATGTTTATAATAAAAGTAAAAAGAGAAAAACTATGTACTAGTTTCATTATATGAAAAATTTGTACTTTTAATCTTTGACTATTTTATCCTTTCGAGTTTCTAACTCATAAAACTTTAATCTGTATAGTTGTAGTAACATTGAACCATAAGATGCATTTTGAAGTTTTCTGGCAGCATTTTCATTCGATTTTCGCGAAGAAAAGCCTTGAATGTACTTGATGTGTGCTCGAAGTAAGTTGGTACAAGTAAAGCCCAATTTAAATATGGAACGTTTGAAACGTTCATATTAGCAGGAACAAGGGCGTTTTCCTCGCCCTTTACAATTTTACCCACGCCCCTTATTGTCTCCAAGCAAACGTTTGCTGAGAAAACGGCTTTGAATTTTTTCAACACCAATTTGGCAAGAGGTCCCTGCGCTTCTATAAGCCGCATGGGCATGAGTATATTTTTTAATCTAAAAAAAAAAAAGATTGTAAATGCTAAAAAAAATATCTTAAAAAAGGTAAAAAAGGCAAATATCTTAAAAAAGGCAAAAAAAGGCAACATCAAATGTGTATATATGGAATCAGGGAAAGCTAAATCGTGGACATTCTTAATCGAATATACTCTATCTCTTTAGCAGAAAAAAAAGGCAATTTCCATAAAATCCGTTCCCTGGTCATGACATTTCGCTATATTTCGTCGTAGAAAAGGTATCACCCTACAACAATAAGCATCCCGCAGCCTTGCAGTTCCTAAGTAATCTGCGGTCAGTCAGTCAGCCAATTGTCGCTATCGTATACATTTGCACAACTCACTACATACTATATTTTTCCTTAAATCTACTATTACTACACCTTTTCAAAACTATCATCTCCATAGCTAAGCAGTATTCATCAAAATGGTTAGCAATAGTCCGAAAAGCATGCGCGAACTCTCTGACGAGGATCAGGTGCATCTATGTTCTCTTAGGAAAATGAGTTCAATTATCATTCGCAACATACTCAGCATGAAACAACGAATAAGCGACGAAGAGGGTGAAATTGATACCTCTGTCCTTGAATGTCGTTTGCAAATTGTTGAATCGTACTTTCAACGGATTTCCGAGGTGCATAACAATGTTGAAATCCTAGTCCTTACTGATGTTTCGAGAACGGAGATTGAAGAAATATACATTGAAGCAAAATCGAAACTCTTGTCGTTAATCAATTCCAGAAGCCGCGCGACCGAATTTAATTCTAGTGTGTTCAATGCTACATCATATATAAGCAATCCTCATCAAAACCGTCTACCAACACTTAAATTGCCGAAGTTCGATGGAAAGTATGCGAACTATAAACGCTTTTTCCGCGCATATTCCAACATGGTGCATGATGACCCACAATTCCTAAGGTTGACAAATTCAATTATCTCTGAAACTGTCTTTCAGGACCAGCCTTAAGCGTCATCGAGCCATTTCAGGTAACAGAAGAGAACTACCCGAAAGCTTTGCAGCGACTTAAGGAACGGCACGACAACAATGTGCTGATCTTCCGAGACTATATCGCATCACTTTTTGGTATTCCAGTTATGAAAACTTCGGACGCTGTTACCTTGCGGAACATCATCGATACCGTTGCAGCACTTCGAGAGTATCTTCATTCACTGGGATCATAAAAAGACTTCGTGAATTCAATGCTCATTTATATTGTTTTATCTACATTAGATTCGGATTCGAAATCGGCCTATAACCAAAAGCAATGATTTGAAGCTCTGCCATCGTGGGACGATTGCTACAAATGGTTGAGTCGTCATTGCCAATACTTAGAGATCTGTTCCAAAAAAGACAATTGAAAGGCATCCCCTCGGGACGGCAAACTCAATGGTAAGCGAACTGCTAATTCTTTCGTCAGTGCTAAGTCTAGTTGTTTGCATTGCAAACACGTAGAACATAGCATCAACAATTGCTCATCGTTTCTATCTTTATCAGCCACGCAACGCTTCGATTTCGTGAAGCAATCCGGAGCTTGTATTAACTGTTTGCGAACGGGGCACATGGTGTCCAAGTGCCCATCGCACTCTCGTTGCCGTGATGTAATACCAACAGCCTTAATCCACATCCAAGATAAATTTGGTCTAATTCAGCCAGCACGCGCCCTGTTGGATTCATGTTCAGAGTTAAATTTCATAACGGAAGTAACTGCTAAACGTTTGCAACTTAAGAGAAACTCATCAACTCTGGAAGTGTCAGGTATTTCAGACATTCAAACTAATATAAAATTTGCTAAACGCGACAATCAAATCTCATATTGGAGATTTTACTTGGTCATCCCATTTCGCCATAACAAAACGTATTTCCGCACAAGAACCATATGAGCTCAGTGACACATCTTATTGGAACATTCCCCCCGTAATCCAGCTTGCTGCTGTTGCCATTGTTTTATAATGTCATTTAAAATGCAACATTTAGCACTTTCGAACATATGTTTTCAAAGAGCGTTCATGCTATCGCATTTAGCAAATGTGCATTTACGCGAGCTCGATATCGTATGCTTTTGACAAACAGCCGTGATCCAGTCGCTTATTCAGATCCGCATCTATCACTATCAATTCTCACGGAGAAGATAATGTGCAAAAAATTCTACTGAAAGGGAAAAATTTAATTTTAAACCAAAAATTCAGTACTAAAACTTGAATTGGTTAAACCATAACCGAAAATTTGTTAGTGTATATATTCATTTGTCGGTGCTGTTAATTAAATATTCCTCACTTAATTAGGAAACAAAACAAACAGAGCTGATCACAAATTGATCCAGATTTCTATCAGCTTCACTACTTAGACTGCTACGCCTGGCTGGTCAGGCATGCGGTCGTACGAACAAGATGAATACAACTAAAAATGAACAACAAAAGCAAAATCAAGGTACAAACAAGCAACAAAAACAAGCTAACAACAACAGCAACTACAAGACTAGGAACACAAATAGCACAAAAGCAGTCAGTCCGGATCGACGACCTCGCGCGACTCCGTGAAGAACGAGAAGGGACGCCACTTGGATAGAAGGGCGAATCCACCAACTCTTCCTCCCGCAGGGAAACCCGGTTCGCTGTCCGACCCCAGGAGGTTGGGGCTTAGTGGCTCCGGGGCGAGGCACTATGTGAGATACATTGAACAAGGCAAGACTCCCGAGGTAGCTAGGGAGCTAGCTCTCGCTAGATCGGCCCCACAAGGGTCGAGTAAGCGGGACTCTGAGCGCTACGACAGTACGACCGCACCCGCGAATGAGCGGAAGAGCGGGCATCAGCAGCAGACCAGGCAGTATGGCTCTCGCGAACAGACCGCACCCGCCGCTGGGCGGAAGAGCGGGCATACCAGCGAGGGTCATAAACCGGCGCCCGCTGAGAAGCGGAGTGACGGACAGCACCTTGCTAAGGGTGGTAGGCACGACAGGCACACTGGCGAGACCGCACCCGCTTACAAGCGGAAGAGCGGGCATAGTCGCTATGATGAGAGGTACAGAAACCAGGACAACAAGGTGGAGGGCTCCGGTGAGACCGCACCCGCGAAGCGGAAGAGCGGGCAGTTAACACCAAACACTCCGGCCCCAAAGAAGCAGCGGGAGTATCCACCCCCTCCAACATCGGGGGTAAGCATCTGGAGCCAGCGGCTTCTCAGGGTGGAGTAGGGCAAACGCCTAGCTACTGTGATGCACAAAGGGGCATAAGGGTTGCGGTGCTGCCTTGTGACTACCCTGCGGAGGCGCTGAGTCCGGATGAGCTAACTGACGCATCCGCTTGCATTCTGCGGGGTGTACTTCCGTCCAGGCATGCTCCTGGTAGACTGCAAAGATGAGGGCACGGCTAAATGGCTAGAGGAGGTCACACCGAAATTAGGTAGCTGGAAGGGGGCCCGGCTGTGCGTGAAACGGGGAGATGATATCCCACCCATGCACAACATGACCATCTTCCTGCCGAGAAGTGCGGACAAACCGTCAGAATATGAGTTAGGGCTGCTAAGGGCGCAAAACGGGGGTCTCAACACCCCAGCGTGGCGCGTAATCTCAAGCAGCATAGATGACAACGGCCTGCGTTTGAACGTCGGCATTGATGAGGACTCTTTTAGCAATGTCCGAAGGGCAGGGTACAAGCTGAACTACAGGTTCAGTTTTGTCACCATGCGGCCTTGGCGACCGAAGGCTGCGAAAGAGAAGGAGGGAGGCGAGGAAGCTATGCAGGTGGATGGAAGTCTGCCGGCTGTAGCAACCTCACAGGCAACCACGTCAGGGGAGGGCGCGCGGTCTTCTGAGCCGACACCTCTGGCCCCATCTTCCGACGAACGAGGTACCAATGTGCGAGACACAGCAGCTATTATACAGGGGAAAGTCCCCTCTACGCAGGACCTGCTCGAGGGTATTGATTTGAGGAGGCTAGAGCTTGACAGGGGAAGCGAGAGCGAACTAAGGCTCTCGGACCTGGATGAGCAATTATGAGGCACCCACCGCCCTTGTCAGTAGCCCAGATCAACCTGCACCACGCGGTTGCGGCCTCGGCTGTAATTGGGAGCAGGTTTTCTACCGACGATCTGGGCATAGTACTGATTCAGGAGCCGTGGACATACAGGGGCCAGGTAAAGGGCCTCAAAGGAACACATAGAAAGGTAATATGGGACCTCTCCGTTGAGAGGCCTAGAGCATATGTAATGGTCAGGAATGATATCGATTTTTTCTGCATTACAGAGTTTTTAAGCCAGGATCTGGTAGCAGTACAAGCGACGCTTTGGGTGGAAGGAAGACCCAGGAACATAGTGTTTGCTGCCGCATACTTTCCGGGGGATAACCACAGCATTCCCCCTGCAGAGGTACAAGACCTGGTGGAGCATTGCAGAAGAGCCCGACTTCCTTTAATCCTCGGTTCCGATGCGAATGCCCACCACGTTGAGTGGGGCAGCACCGACATCAACAAACGGGGTGAGTCCTTACTTGAGTACATTCTAAGTGAAGATCTGTATATAAACAATGTTGGGCAATGTCCAACATTTGTCACTAGAGCCAGGCAGGAAGTCCTTGACCTGACTCTCAGCAACGATCTGGGTAATAATCTGATTGGACAATGGTGGGTGTCTTCGGAACCCTCCTTGTACGACCACAGGATTATCCGCTTCTTGCTGAGAGTGCAGGCCAGAGCAGGGATTCCGAAGAGGAACCCCAGGAACACCGACTGGGAAAAGTATAGGAAATTACTAGATTTTAACCTACCTGGGTTAGAGAGGGACCACAAAAAAAGGCGGCTGTATGGCATTAGAGCATAAAGTTAATAGGCTAACAGATATAATTACTGATGCCTTTAACTATAGCTGCCCCGAGACACAACCAAGGGGGAAAGGGAAAACTGTGTGGTGGTCTCGGGAACTCTCATCCATCCGGAAAGACACGCGCAGGCTGTTCAACAGGGCTAAGCGCACAGGATGCTGGGCAGAGTATGCGGTTAGTCTAACAAAGTACAGCAAAGAGATTAGGAACGCGAAAAGGGAAAGTTTCAGAACCTTCTGTGAAGGTATTTCGAATACCCCGGCCGCTGCGAGGTTACATACGGCTATAGCCAAAGGAACTATTGAATCGGAGCTTGCGCTTAAGCTCTCAGATGGCACCTACACCAACAGTAGAGAGGAGAGGGCCATCGCCCTGATGCTAGCACACTTCCCGGAGGCCTCTAATCTGATGGAGGAGCTGGAGATCCAGCGATCTAGGCCGCGACCATCTGATTGGAGACTGGCGAGAGGTATTTTCACTCAGTCTTCAGTCGGATGGGCGCTAGGCTCGTTTGAGCGGTACAAGGCTCCGGGGGTAGATGGCGTCCGGCCAGTGATGTTACAGCAGGGCGGTGAGAGTGTAATACCGCATCTCGTGGACATAATGAGAAGCAGTCTGGCAGAAGCGTATGTCCCACGGTTGTGGCGAAGGGCGCGAGTAATCTTCATCCCGAAAGTGGGTAAAAGGGACTACTCGCTAGCGAAGTCGTTCAGACCAATAAGCTTAACCTCCTTTGTGTTAAAAGCAATGGAGAAGATTTCAGATAACCACATTAGATCAACCATTCTGAGGGATATACCCCTGCACTCCAGTCAGCATGCATACAGGGCTGGAAGGTCCACGGACACAGCCCTGTACCAACTGACAACCGAGATTCAGGGGGCCCTCGAATGCGGTGAATCAGTGCTCTGCGCCTTTCTCGATATAGAGGGCGCATTTGACAACACGTCACACTCTGGAGTGCGCAGGGCATTGGAGAGGAGAAACGTGCAGTCAGCGATCTGCAATTGGGTGGATGCGCTCCTGCGTACAAGGATAGCTGAAATCGAGGTAGGGGACAGCGTGGTACAATTTCAGACAACAAAGGGTTGCCCGCAGAGAGGAAACTTATCACCCCTTCTGTGGAGCCTAGTGGTGGATGAACTTCTTCAACTTCTCTCTGACAATAGTATCCGCTGCCAAGGCTATGCGGATGATATAGTGATTATTGACAGGGGGAAGTTCGAGAGCACCCTCTGCGACATCATTCAAAGAGGCTTAGGCATCACGAAGGGATGGTGCAACAAGTTAGGACTTATCATAAATCCTGCCAAAACCGCCGTCATTCCTTTTACTAGGAGAAGAGCCCTTCCGGGCATGAGGAACATAACCTTGGAGGGGGGTCGCGGTTTGCGTCGCCAGCGAAGTGAACTATCTGGGAGTAATCCTAGACACCAAACTTCTATGGAAGAAACATGTCGACGCGATCACCTCCAGGACCACGAAAGCGTTAACGGTGTGTAAGCGTCTGGCGGTAAAATCCTGGGGTTGTACGCCCAGGATCCTGAGATGGCTTTACATCATGATAGTACAGCCAATGATCACTTATGGGGCGGTAGCCTGGGTTTCAAGAACTACTCTAGCCACGGTGAGACAATCGCTCACCAAGCTACAACGACTGGCATGTGTCTGTATAACAGGAGCGATTCGCACTTGTCCGACGACAGCGCTGGAAGTAATCCTTGAACTTGAGCCTCTTCATATAACCATAGAGCAGGCAGCCAAAAGAACTCTGCTTAACATTGCGAGAGAGGGATTTGGAAAAGGTAAAGTCGACAGCGCTGGAAGTAATCCTTGAACTTGAGCCTCTTCATATAACGATAGAGCAGGCAGCCAAAAGAACTCTGCTTAACATTGCGAGAGAGGGATTTGGAAAAGGTAACGTCATTTCCACTAGGAGTATGGAGAAGCTAGGGTCCTCGCTCCCACTAGCCCTGCTACCTAGAGATGACATAGGAAAGACCATAGTCTATGAGAAGAGATTCAAAATAGAGCTCTGCAGTAAGGCGACCTGGAGTGTCTCCGCTTTCGAGGCATTACTTCAGGGTTGCACTCTGCACTGGTACACGGACGGCTCGAAGACCCCAGAAGGAATAGGTGCTGGAATTGTGGGACCCAGGGCCAGGTTTTCTGTTCCTATGGGGAAATATCCGAGCATCTTTCAAGCAGAAGTCTATGCTATCTGCCTATGTGCGGATACAATCATGGGTAGAGGGTATAGAAACGAGAGAATTAT